ACCGCGCCATCATCGACGCCTGCTGCGACCACCTCATCGTCCTCGACGGCAACGGCGGCGCGGAGCTCTTCATCGGCAACTACACCGAGTGGCACAACCGCGAGACCAAGCGCAAACGCGAGGCCGACGAGTTCGCCGCGATGGAGCGCGCCGAGCGCGAAAAGGAAGAAAAGAAACGCCGCCAGGCCGAGCACCGCGAGCGCGAGCAGGCCCGCACCAAAGCCGGACCCACCGCCAACTCCCTCTCCCGCCTCAAAACCGAGCAGCTCGAGAAGCGCATCGAAGAGCTCGAAACAAAGATCAAATCCATCGACGAGAAGCTCGCCTCGCCCGACGTGTGGCAGAACCACAGCAAAGCCGAGAAGCTCGGCAAGGAACGCGCCGCCCTCGTCGAAGAGCTCGAGCCCCTGGAGTTCGAGTGGATGAGCCGCGCCGGCGCGTGAAATCGCCCCGCTCGATCCCCCAGTAAGATCGGGGCATGCTCACCGTCCGCGCCATCACCAAATCATTCGGGGACCTCCGCGCCGTCAACGGCGTCTCCTTCGATTTGCGCCAAGGCGAAGCCTTCGGCCTCCTCGGCCCCAACGGCGNNACGGCGCGGGCAAGTCCACCACCATCAACATGATCGTCGGCATCCTCCCGCCCGACGCCGGGACCATCGAGCTCGACGGCGTCGGCGGCGCGGGGACCACCGAGGGCAAACGCAGAATCGGCGTCGCCCCCCAATCCCTCTCCCTCTACGAGCAGCTCAGCGCCGAGGAGAACCTCAAATTCTTCGGCAAGCTCTACGGCCTCGCCGGCGCGACCCTCCGCGACCGCGTCGCCTGGTCCCTCGACCTCGCCGGACTCACCGACCGCAAGTCCGGGCGCGTCGCGACCTACTCCGGCGGCATGAAGCGCCGCCTCAACATCGCCTGCGCCCTCGTCCACGACCCCGCGCTCGTCATGCTCGACGAGCCCACCGTCGGCGTCGACCCGCAGTCCCGCAACTACATCTTCGACGCCATCGAGCGGCTCAAAGCCGAGGGCCGCACGATCCTCTACACCACCCACTACATGGAAGAGGCCGAGCGCCTCTGCGACCGCGTCGCCATCATGGACAAGGGCGAGATCCTCGCCCTCGACACCGTCGACAACCTCATCGACGCCCACGGCGGCGCCACCGAGATCCGCGCCGTCACGGGCGACGGCTCGACCCTCAACGGCTTCGAGCCCGACGCCCGAGGCGTCCGGGGGGTGCAGCGCCGCGTCACCGACGACGCCATGGCCGACGTCCGCGACCTCGTCACCTCCGGCGCCGCGCTCAAGTCCCTCACCGTCAAACGCCCGGACCTCGAGGGCGTCTTCCTCGCGCTGACGGGCCGCACACTCCGGGACGACGAGTAGGAGGCCCGAACCATGCGCAACATCCTCACCATGGCGTTCAAGGACATCACGATCCTCCGGCGCGACAAGTTCGGCCTCTTCTGGCTCCTCATTTTTCCGCTCGTCTTCGCGCTCTTCTTCGGCGCGATCTTCGCGGGCGAGGGCGGCGAGACCGCGAGCCTCAAGGTCGCCGTCGTCGACCTCGACGACACCGAGACCTCCCGCGAGTTCATCGAAACACTCGAAGAGTCCGACGCCCTCGCCCTCGCCACGCTCACCTCCGGCGAACCCTGGACCGAGCAGAACGCGAAAGACAAGGTCCTCAAGGGCAGCATCGTCGCCGCCATCGTCATCCCCGAGGGCTACGGCGAAGGCCAGGACAACCTCTTCACCGGCGACCCGCCCGTCCTCCGCGTCGATATCGACCCCTCACGCCAGGCCGAGGCCGGTTTCCTCCAGGGCGTCCTCACCGAAGCCGCGTTCAAACGCTTCCAGACGATGTTCACCGACCCCTCGAGCATGACCGGCTCCATCGACACCGCGCTCCAGGAGGTCGCGTCCGCCGAGGGCGTCGATCCTGCGCAAAAGTTCATCCTCAATTCATTCCTCGGTTCCGTGAAGTCCTTCTCCGAGTCCTTCGACCCCGAGCTCTACGCCGGCGAGGACGCCACCGAAGGGGACGCTGACGGGGCGCCGTCGTTCAACCCCGTCGCCATCGAGATGAACGAGATCACCTCCGGCGAGCAGGGCACCAACCCCAACTCCTACGAGATCAGCTTCCCCAGCGCCATGATCTGGGGCCTCATCGGCTGCGCGTCCGGCTTCGCCATCGGCCTCGTCAAGGAGCAGAAGGACGGCACCATGACGCGCCTCCGCGTCGCCCCCCACTCCCGCACGCACATCCTCGCCGCCAAGGGCCTCGCCTGCTTCATCGTCTGCACCGCCGTCATCCTCCTCCTGCTCGCCTTCGGCAACCTCGTCTTCAACGTGCGCATCACCAACCCGATCCACCTCGCGATGGCCACCGCCAGCGCCTCGCTCTGCTTCGTCGGCATGATGCTCTTCGTTTCCACCCTCGGCACCACCGAGGAGGGCGTCGCCGGCTCCGGCTGGGCGCTGTTCATGGCCTGCGCCATGCTCGGCGGCGGCATGATCCCCCTCATCGCCATGCCGAGCTGGATGCTCACCGCCTCCAACGCCAGCCCCGTCAAATGGGCCATCGTCGCCCTCGAGGGCGCCAGCTGGCGCGCCTACGACACGAGCGAGATGCTCCTGCCCTGCGGCATCCTCCTCGCCGTCGGCATCGCGTTCTTCTCGATGGGCATGCTCGTGATGCGCCAACGAGCCTGACCACAAAGCTCCGTCCCTCGCCCCCAAAGCCCATTGCCCATTGCCCACTGGCCATTGCCCCCTCCCCGGCTGCCGACTGCCGACTGCCGACTGCCGAAAATGTAATACATATATTGGGCAAACCAGCGACCCCCATCACAACACTCAACGAAAGCCCCTCACCCATGCGCACCCCCTCACTCATCGCCCTCACAGCCGCCGCCCTCCTCGCCGCCCCCGCCCTCGCCGGCGACCAGCTCCCCCACGTCGAAACCAGAGGCACCGGCGAGCACACCCTCGTCCTCATCCCCGGGCTCGTCTGCGGGTGGTCCGTCTGGGAAACATTCATGGAGCGCAACGAAGACAGCTACACCATGCACGCCGTCACCCTCCCGGGCATGGACGGCACCGAGCCCCTCTCCACGCCCATGCTCGAAGAGGGCACCCCCTGGCTCGACGCCTCGCTCGAAGCGCTCGCCGAGATGATCCGCGAGAAGGACCTCAAAGACCCCATCGTCGTCGGCCATTCCATGGGCGGCACGCTCGCCATGCGGCTCGCGGCCGAGCACCCCGACCTCATCGCCGGCGCCGTCTCCGTCGACGGCATGGCCGCGTTCCCCCTCGGCCCCACGCCCCTCACCAAAGAGCAGCGCACCAAGACCGTCGAGACCATGATCGGCCCGCAGCTCCTCGCCAACGCCGACCAGAGCTGGAACGCGCAGTACGACGTGATGGGCCCCACCCAGATGACCGACCAGGCGCTCTACGCCACCTGGAAAGAGCACTTCAAGAAGACGCCCCCCAAAGTCGGCGCGCGCTACATGGTCGAGCTCATGAAGACCGACATCTCCGACGAACTCGCCAACATCGAAGACCCCCTCCTCGTCCTCCCCGCCGACAACAAACCCCAGGAAGCCTTCATGGGAGGCGCCGAAGGCGTCAAGAAGATGTGGGCCGCGCAGACCGAGCACGCCCCCGCGAACCTCCTCACCGTCACCTGGGCCCCCGACTCCCGCCACTTCATCTTCTTCGACAAGCCCGAATGGTTCGACGCGCAGATCGCCGCGTTCGTGAGCGGCGAAGACGCCCCCAAAGCCGAAATGCCCGAGCAGGACTGAGCCGCCCCGAATCGGCGCACAAAGGCACAACACGCCACGAATCAAAGGGCTTTGTGGCCCTTTTTTCGTGCGCGGACGTAAGCTCTCACCATGACCGCGACCCCGCCAGAACGCCCGCAGGATCGGCACACCAAGACGCGGTTTGTCGACATCGCGCGGCGTTCACACACAGCGGAGCAGAACGGGGCGGCGGGATGAGGGTGAGAGTCATCCCCGACCACCCGCTCCGCATTCGGCAACCCGTCTTCTGGGCCGCCGCCGCCGTGTCCGCCGCGCTCATCGTCAACGGGGCCGTCGAGCGGCTCGAGACACACCTCTTTCTGAACCCGGCATTCATCATCGGTCTTGCGGCGCTCGTGAGCTTCCCACTCGCCGACGCGCTCACGCACCGCACCTACACACGCGTCACACGACGCGCCACCATCTTCGGGTTCTCCCTCGGGTTCTTCTTCGTCCTCTTCCTCGCGCTCAGCTCCGGGCGTGACACGTTTCTGCTCATCCGCGGCACCGTCTCGGTTCGGGACATTGTCGCGCAGGTCTTCGCCCCAACGCTCCTCGCGATCATCCTCGCCTTCGCGATTACGTTCGTGCTCAACCGATTCCTCGGCCGGCACACGATCAACGACGGCACCCTCTGCTGGCACTGCGCGTATTCCACCACAGGTCTCGACGCGCAGACCCGGTGCCCGGAATGCGGCAACGAGTACTCCGAGGATCCCCCCGCCTCACGCGCCCGCGCCGGCGCGCGCCGAGTCCTCGTCGCGCTCGCGAGCCTCGCGCTCGCCCTCCAGATCGCGCAGTTCGCGCACGTGCTCGTCACCGAAACGGTCCCGCATGCCAGGTTTCGGGCGCACATCCCGCCGTACGAAACCACCGCGAACGTGGTCTTCGCCCCGCCGGGCGACCGCGCGGGGGTGTGGCACGCCGACGCGATCACCTGCGTCATCGACATCACCGAGCGCGCCAGAGAACTCCGCGTGGACGGCACCCACCTGAGCGTCACCTGGCTCTACCGCCCGGACCTCGGCGGCGTCCGAGCCCAGTTCGACGTCTGCATCGCGTCGCACGAGGACCAATTCGCCGGCCGCTCGTTCTATTCCTCGATCTCCCACGTCGTCTGGAACCTCCACGAAGACGACCTCGAACGCTTCAAAGACACCGGGGGCCTCACGCCGGAGCGAATCGACGAGCTCCTCATCGCCGCCGACCGCGAGCGTTACAGCACCGGCGGACTCGGCGCCCGTGGACCACGCGGGATCCGGACCTGGATGCCCCGCCAGCGGTGGCTCTTCCGGGACACCGAATGGCCCGACGGAGGCGACGCCCCATGACCCGTATCAAAGTCATCCCAACCCGCCCCCTCCGCCTCTGGGAACCCGCCACCTGGGGAATCATCACCGGCGCGCTCGTCGGACTGACCCTCGGCAACAGCACCGCTCTCGGCTCGTTCACCCTCTCGTTCCCGCTCTGGTCGCTCGTGACGATCGCGCTCGTCTCCGTCCCCCTCTTCGGCGCGATCGACGCGCTCGCGCACCGGCGACCCCGGCGACTCGCCGTGCGACAGGCGATCTGCGCGCTCGTCTACCCGCCCGGCATGATGCTCACCGCGATCCAATTTCCCGACGGGCCGG